TTCGAGTGATCAGTGTTTGATCAGCTACAAGAGTTTAAGACTTGAAGAAAAGTCATCGAATGACAAGTGCCTAGATGTGCTTCACGATGCTAAATCCAAAAATCGCACCGGTGAGATCGAAAAATGAAAAGATCAGGAGATAATCGGGATTTTTCTGAAAAATCGGTTTTTCGAGATTCTTGACACCCTCGCAGTATTTTGAGGTTTTCTGCATGAAAACTCGGTCAAATCGAAAAAATAAGATCAGATTCGTGATCAGCAGCGTCCGACGAATCAGAATATGTGTTTCAAAACTCAAAAGCTTTTCCACTTGATTTTTGCATTAGCGGCACCTTAATAAAACAGCAAGATTTATTACCTTTTTAGCGGTAATAAATAACAAACGTTTATTACTTTTACCGGATAAAATGCAATAACTGGTAAAAGTAGAGTAGCACCCCTAATACATACCTTTCAGCGGTTATGATAGAATTTTAAAATTTTTTTTAGTTGTCGTTATTTTTTGTATGATAAACGCTTCAATTCCATATCGGGACTGGACGATAATTGACTTTTAAGAGAACCTTTTTGACTTAGTCAAGCATTAGCTAATAATACTGTCAGGTGGTCGAATTTATGTTTCTCTGAAATCATTTCCATTCGATTCAGCATACAAAAGTAGGTATACCCTTTTTCATTTAGGCCACAGAACATGTCAGATGTTGAGCTAACCAGATATTCCACAATGTCCTTTTGGTTTTTCTTGAAAACGCATTTTACTTGCAGTTGCTTTTTATTGAGATTTTTTTAGCAACATGTCGTTCGAAAGAGCGTAAAAAGCATTTTCGATGGAACGTAGAAAAATTGATTTTACTAATAAAAAATGCTCATTTTTCAACAAAATCAAAGTTTCGACTCTTTTTCGTTTCTAAAAAATGGGAAAAGAAAGAGAAGAAAAATTTGAGTAGACTTCACTACTTTTTTAGTGGATAAAAAACTGTTTTTGACTATGTAAGTTGAGTTACAAAATTTATTTGCTTTTCATCAACAATCAGTACGTAACGACATCTATAGTAAGATGGTAGTCAGAATTTTCGTTGCTTCTAGTGGTTTTCCGACGGTATTACTTAGTTATGAACGACAAGTCTAAGATGGATGTAATTCCGTTTTGAAGCTCATTTCCCACTTTTCACTCGACCAAAGTATATTTGAACAAATCCAAGTATATATTTGGAAAGTCCAAAATACAGGCTTCGTTTTTGTATCAAGAAGTATCAGTATTTATAACTAATTTCACAGTATTCGAAAGTCTCAGACCAAGAGGATGAAAATTCCTTTTTCTCTAATTGCGTTACGACATCTGGTTTTCGCTGCAACTTTTGATCCACTCAAATCACGCTAAAAGATTTTTTTTGATATGTACTGATCCGTGGTACATTCGTAAAAGATTTTGAGCCTCATGTGTTTAACAGTTTTCGAGAAAAGTGGTCGCAGTAGTCGTCAAAATGTAATTCTGTTACGGCTGGCTAAACTTATAATAAAATGTATCACATAAGAAGAACATTGAACTAATTTTGTTATATAATGGAAAAGAACGTTTGTACATTCAAACTGGAACTATATCTTGTCGACTTTATTGATTTTTAGGCATTTACCTCCACTGTTTGATCTTAACAAAAAAAAATTGTTTAGACGTTTTCCCTCGATCTTCAATTTTAAATAAAATATCCATAGAAAAAATAGAGGTTGAACGAAAAGATTTATTCATGCAAATAAGAAGTTTCAAAAAGATACAGTTCCGATTCGAATATACAGACGTTCTTTTCCATTATGTGACAAAAATAGTTCAACGTTCTTCTTCAGTATACATTTGGATATTCAATTTTCTTTTCATTCCAATATTGAAAGAAAATTGAATATTTTTACTAGTGAAATCCGTCATCAGGATTCATTCCAGAAGAGAAAATTCACCGACACAAATTTTGATGGCTTCTCTAATATATTATAAACTTTATTAAAATCTCGATTATGCTAACAACATTTTTCAACGGTTGGAGTTTTCTATTCTTTTGTTAGTTTGTCAACGCATTTATTTTATGTACAAACAACATAGAGTTTGATGTGTTCTTTATAACTCTGCTTAAGTTGATAATGTAAGATGAAGTAGAGCACGTATTGGACATTCATAATTATTTATGGTGAGAGATAAAGTACAACAGAAATATTGTCCACATCTCTGTCGTTTGAGCCACCGCCAACTCCGCCGTAATTCACTATGACAACCTGAATCAAAGTTAATCTCGTAGAAACCATTATTCTACCTACTGTTGATCGATAAATTAATTGCGTTGTATGTCCCCGATCAGTATCTAGCGCTTGACCTATTTGCTTACTAGTACCCAATACAGATAACGATGATGATAGGAATTGAAACGATACATAAGCCGAATCATTTTGTCCTGCCCAACCACCTAACCATACGGACAAATTGTATGTGACATTATGATTATCGATATCATTAGCATAAGCTGTTAAATTAATTGTTTGTGACATGCTTGTCACATCTGATATTTGCCCATAAAAATAACAACATCCACGATCTCTAGAATGAAAAAATGGAAAAAATAACACACACATTCGCGACTATACGTGCGTTTTTCCTTTCTAGAAACTGTTAAAACTTCTTTCATATTCTAATTCATACTGGTGGTACTACCTACTGGAAAAAATAATTAACCTTCTAGGAAATGTATACTCTAATATTTTGACTTTAACACGCATTTTCATGTGTACAAAACCTAAAAAGATCTTTTTTTATGTCAGGAATATTCTATTTTCTTCCATCAATAAGAAATTAAAGTCATCAGAATGATTCCGCTACTGTAGAAAAAAAGATGTATAGCAAAGCGGAGATATCAAACTATTCTAATTTCTTCAGCTTTGAATACTCTGTTGAATGGTATATAACTTAAAAACTTCGGTAAGAAAATTGACAAATTATGGTTAAAAACATTAAGGTATACATTTTCCGGAAGTTTATTCGATACGAGAAAAGCTTTTATAATTTTACAAGAAAATATGCAAAAGCACTTAACTTTCCAAAAATAAAAAATACAGACAAGTTCCTTTACGGTCACCCTGTACAGACATATCCAACATTCACAGGACTTTTTCAGATTCCTGCGTGTTAACGCAGGAATTCGTAAATTCTTTTGCAGTGGATAGTATCAAGACAAGATGAAGCTTAATTTCATAAACAGAATATAGTTCAATATAATAGGTGACAGTTTCTAAGACAAATCTTGTTTTTATTAATGTTTAGCTGACCTTAACTCTCAGACAACATGGCGAGTACATCTCATACAGCAAAAACAAAATTTTTTTGCGTAATCACGCAATAAAAATGCAAAAGCATAAGTGACGTAACGCAAAAAATGGTTACAAAAGCAAAATTTACGAATTGAGGATATAAGACTGTTTCCTCCGAGGTGGATTTATAATGGCTGGATAGCCCGAGGTATTCTCTACAATTCTATGCAAAGCCGAGCTCCTTATCTGTTATGGTTCTGGAATGACAGGCATTTTCGTGAGTTACCCGTAATTCGTTAGCATTTCGTCGGGTTACCTCAGAAGTATATGGAAACATAGGATATCGACCATTAATTAATTAGAAGTTATTCTCTTACAAAACCTCTTTTTAAAACCTTTCTTATCAAACCATAACAACAGACCATTGGCTATCAAGCAATACATGAATGGCTTTTGTACGATTATTTCTGACTGAGTTACAAATTTTTTAAAATGAGGGCTAGGACTATAAACTTAATTAATTAATAACTCTGTGAATAGCTATCAGTTCATCGGGAAAACTTAAGGGTATATGTAATCAGGTGTCCTCTTCAAACTGACAAAGTTTGAGACAATATTGGGAGGTGAATGCCTCTCTTACTTGCAGCGTGAAACTCTTGCCAAAGATCCTGCAATTTACGAAGCATGATGGAGTGAAAGTCTTGATACAAAAAATGTGCAAAACAGTCTATTACAGGGGTAACGTTGTCTGTTTATTAGAGTTAATGGAAAAATTTCGAAAAAAATTAAATTTAAATTTCTTTTAATTTTAAACTATAAAAGAATGTAAATTTAAATCACACGGAAGAAACTTTTCAAAATCAGACAACATTACCCACGCAGTCGGCCATTGCGCACAGTTTTTTCAGCTAATGTTTTCTTTCGCCATGGACCATTTTTGGCAAGGTCTTTTTCAAAATACTTTATCTTTTCGTAGCAAAATATACGGGAAAAAATCTTGACTACAAATGCAATACAATTATATTGCATACCGCCATTGAAGGCTGGTGATGGTGCCGTAGTGGCTGGATATCCGACCGGATAAGTTGATGAACAAATATGGGTGGTGGTTGTGATTTTGACTAGAAAAAGATCTGTAGAGCTTTTAATTTTACAAGGTTAAGTATAATTACCTGTTGTAGCCAACATGAGACGCGTGCTCTTAATATTTGTACCAACATCTAAATGCGAAATGAGCAGAAATTAAAGCTCGAAATTGTAATTTTATAATATGCCCATCTCAACAACTTCAGAAGCTTCGATTTTTAAAGATAATAAACAAAACTCATTACTCGCTAATGTTGTTGAAATAACCACAGTTGATGACGTCGTTATTCGTTCTAAATGTTAAAATAAACACACTGGGATTATGACCTGATTTTGGCAAAGGATTAATTCAGGTGGAATCTATTATGTGATAGTACTAGAAAATAAATCAATATATACTGACCACAAAAATTAGATGAAGAACATGTTAAATTTTTATCATTTCTACACCATTGATCATTTTGACATATTGAACCGTTGTATCTCTGATTTAAACACATGTACCCATTCCAACATGTATGTGGGGTACATTGACAAATATTATTAATACATAGTAAATATCGATTTATTTGACATTTATCACATGTTTGGTTATAGGCTAAATAAAGTTGTTCTGTATATACAATACTACTAACTCTTGATGTTGACGGGATAGCTGCTGATCTATTCACCTGACCAGTTGTTATTTCACCTTCAAATAGTCGACATCGTTTAGATAATGTATCATAATCGTACGTTCGACACAATAAATTTATGTTACAAGTTTCTGTACAACTAATTTCTGATGATACCCAGATTGTACTAATTAACTCCATTGGATCAGCAGGTATAAATGATGTACCGAAATCGGCTATGTAAATACGCCATTGGTATTGTGAACAAACAACATCGATGAACACGACCCATTGAAGAAATACTGTGCCATAATTGTGTATATAATTGTTTTTATACGAAAGATGTTTTTAAAACGTTTCAGTTAAAAGTTTTCCTCCTTTTTCTTAATGTTTCATCATTGTCAAAACCCGATATTCGTATCTAAATTTATTATTTTTTTCTTTATAGTATGTATTAAGGTGAAAAGGTTCTTCTCACATCTAATCATAAAATTTTCTCAAAATATACTACCAATTAAGATTTGTAGATTTAACAAAAAGAAAAAGAAAATAAATAGTTTTAACGTTCAAAAGGTGTTTCACAAGAAAGCAGAAAAAAGAATTATTTGCCACTAAA